TGCATGTTTCCTTTTGAAAACCAAATGATGTGGATTACAAGCACAGCTATTGTTTGCAAAGCATTTAACCTGGTCAGCTTTAAAATATCTCACTTGAAAGTACGCCTTTACTGAAGACGAAGTATTTTTAATTAATTTAAGGACTCGCTGAGGATCAGATGAGTAGAATTATCTTCTATTCTTCATTAATAGCAGTAATGCATGATTTTTATGCTAAACTGTTGGGGGACAGGTTGGGGGGGCCTCATGATGTTGGGACAGATGGCATTTAGCTCTAGCTGTGCCGAGCTCAGTGGGACCCGAAGCTTAAGAGGTTAGGCCTGTCAAAACCACTCTGTTCATTCACTGCCTAACAAAGTGTGGACTGTCAGCCTGTTCCGTTTAATAAACTTAAGATTTTTCTTTTGTCAACGCCTGAGCAACACTTTGCAACTCGATGACCTGAATATCCCGAAATGCATTGAGGCTCAATGGAAAAGATGGCACCTCTGGCAAAAGACTTTCCAAAATGTGTGGACATATGTCTGATTTGGTCAGTTAAACTCCAATAGCTGATAGTGTTTTGTTAATTAAGTACAATCAGGTTGGGTTAAGAGGTATTGTCAGGTAGATGCTACGCATGAGCACGATGAATATGTGACTCATTATATGTAAAATATGTTGTTTTTTTTTTTGTTTGTTTTTTTGTTTGAATCATTAAGTGACGTGTCAAAAACACGAGATAGAAATTATACTTGATTCTTTTTAGACAATCAGTGCGACAAATCTCAGTATAAATGTGGTCTATTTTTTGTTATTTTTTACTTTATTATATAATTTACAGTTCAGATGTAGACAGAAACATTAAGAAAGTTGAAGGACTTGAATCCAACCGGACTTGTTGTGGTTGTATGGTAAAGTCTTAACCACAGGGCCACCAGGATGTCCCATATTCTTCTTTTTTGTGCCCCACTTTGAATTCCACATAAAATGTGACATTTCCAAAGCATCGTACTTCACCACAAGAGGGAGACATACTGTAACAAGCAGAGTGATTCTCTGCACCTCACTGTGCATTGCCCACACAGGACTGCACTGCTACTCTGCACTCAAAAGGCCTGAAGCACAGCAAATGCACACTTATCAGAATATCCTAAACAGTCGTGGAGAATTGTTGAGTAAATATGTTTAATTCGGCCATCTTGTCCTCCCCTCTCTCCCCCTATTCTGTTTGTTTCAGTGTTTGTTGGGGTCAAAGGCTGAAGGCTGGTGAGTGGTGACCTAACTGAGAGGCCTGGGTGACATTTGACCTCTAACTGGATGTGCGGCTGACCCTGGAGGACACAGCTCAACAATGGGAGGCACGTGCCTTGGCCTTGTCACCATGGTAACATAGGACCTTTTCGAAAAGGTTGGAGGGGAGGGGGCGGGGGGTCAAAGCTGGGTCCTTATCCTGATCAGTGTTAACCGTCTGCTGCCAATTGACTCTTATGGATATTACACATACCCACCACAGAACAGCGTGTGTGTGTGTGTGTG